ATAAAAATCACAAACAGTATGTATATTTAACTGATGAAAGCTTTGCTCCCTTGTCACAAGGGATCACTCAATGATGAATGGGAATGCCTGTAGGAGTAAGAGTTTGCACTTTTTTTAGCTCCCTCCTGCGGTTCAACTCTGGTTAGTTGTCAGCTTATTGAAGTCAGTTAGCTAGCTTTAGTCAGACAAATCAGAAAATCAAGTCAGGCTCAGTTCCAAAGTATAAATGAATTGAATAAGATAAGTTCGTTTGTGCTGTTTTTAAACAGGTGAACTCAGCTGAATAAAGAAAGAAAAATGTGTGTGTGATTTTAAAGGGAATATTTATATTGCCTTAGTATACGGAGTAATGGTTCAATCGTAAGAGAATAGATGAAAATGACTCATTTAAATGTTGTACTATCAAAGTTAAAACAGAATTTTGTGTTTTACTTACATTTTATGTTGGATGTATTTAATTAAATCCATTTTCAGAGCTCTTGTGTTGCACATTAACAGACTAGCATCACACTAGCATTACTTTGCAACAGGAAAGCTGTGGGCGTTATATGTATTTATTAATGTAAAGTTACTTCTCATATATACAAATTAATTACAATCTGTGGTGGAAATCTGAGAAACCAAGCTTCAGATATAATTTGAGTGTTTTAATAAAGCTTCTGCAAGATCCTACAGAACATACATAAAAAGCATTTCATGTTGGGTGACAGAGAAAAACTTGAATCACAAACCAAACAGGTCCAAACAGGTGCAACATAGTTGTTTTCTGAGCACCTGACATAAACAGCTGAAAGATACAAAGTGCTCACACAACAAAATGGTACATTAGAACTTTCTGTGCAGTGTTTTGTATCTCTGTTACAGTTGTCACAAAGCAAAACAAAAAAAGTGAAGAAAATGGGACATGAATTAAAAATACAAAGATTTGATGTGTTGTAGTTGTTCCAAAGCACATTTTGTGTTTGATGACTTACTGGACTTATTTTCACATATTCATCATTTGAATGTTTTTCTCTTCTGCTTTTAATATCCAGACTCAGTGAATGAAATCTGGGCATGCCAATATTAAATATCAGTCCAAAGTGAAGATGAAAGGGAGATGAAATACAAGCTTTGCTTAAGCATCACTTTTTCCACACTCAAAAGCTCTGACATCAGAGTAAATACACATTGTCTCTGTTGCTCTCGTGTTCCTTCTCTCTGATTTGCGAGTGTTTCTCTTGATAAAGGTTGGCGCAGCATAAGTCAATGAGTCCTCGTGTCTCTGAGAAATGCACCAAAATGTATCAACTGAAATGCACATCTGTAGACTATCATTAAAAACTGCTGGTTTTATTTTTCCATCAGGCTTTTAATTGCAAAATTTCTTACTTTATGAATTTGATGTTCTGTCCTAGTTGACTCTGTATTTGTTTGTAGAGAAACAGCAGCTGGATTATAACAATGTGAAAAAGTGATCAGAAGCAAATGTTTCACTGTATTTTACTTTACAAATCAGTTGTAAATGAGTATGACCTAACCAAATACTATTCAAGAAATCGATATAGAAGTAACTCTTCTTACCCGAGGTTTTGTTTTTTTCTTTGATGGTATAAATGAGGAAGGCTATGACAATCAGGCTTATGCTGAGAGCAACACATAGCAGAATGAGAACTGTGTTGGTCAAATCCCAATGACGGACAACTGGAACTATATTGGAAAAAGCTCTTATTAAAGGTGAAATAATGAAATAATAAAATAATGAAACTGAAATGTAATAATATTTATAATCTATATACATAGATTCATCAATTATTATGTGCCAATGTACTTCATCTAAATCCATTGTAGTGAAAACTAAATAAAATATAAACATTTATATATTTTTATTTTTTATTTTAATACGAAAATACTTACCTTCGATATTCAGTTTTGTTCCATTTCCAAACAGTATCTCTCCACATGTGGCCACAGCACAGTAATAAGTTCCTGTATCAGACGAGCTGACGTTCCTGGAGAAGCTGTAGACACATTTCTGTTGGGAGGCAGCCTCAGGACTCCGCTCACAGTCATAACTATTGTTTCCTTGACTATAAATTAAACTTGGATGAGACTCATCTGGTTTGGTTCTGTACCAGTACACACTGTGATCTTCTGTACATGTTCTGTTCTCAGAATTAGAGAGGACTGAACACTGCAGAGTCACTGGGTCTCCTGGATGGACGGGATTAGACAAAGAGTCTTGAGTGACACCAGTGATGCCTGGGTCAGGTCCTACGAAATAAAAATAAATATGTTTCATTATATTCAGTTAAATCAAAAATATATTAAATTATTGCATATTGGGCAAATAAACTAAACATAAAAACGGTAAATAATTTTGCTGTGGTTGACTCATTAGTGTTGCTGTTTCTGTTTCACTTACCTTTGACTTGAAGAAAAGTTCCTTTCAAAAATGTCATCTTGCGCTGTCTTTCTTTGATGCAGTAATAAACAGCTGTATCGCTTAACTGTGCTCCGTTGATATGAGAACAAAAGTTCCAGGCTCTTGTTTTGTTGTAATGTGATGAATGTTTTCAATAATCGGAGAATCATGAGATATTGTTGATCCTAAAACTTCAGGAAAGCTCTGAGAAACAAGTCTGATCCAGAATAAGTTTGTTGAATGCCAAAGACGATCCCGGAAACAATTCAGAGTCACATTTTGCCCAACAGCAACATTTTTGGTGTCAAAGATCTGATGATCTGAGCATCCTGAAAATTAAAAGCAGAATCATGGTTACCAACAGTCATATAGTCATATATTCATATAATCTTTTAGATTAATACACCACAGTGATTCAGTGATTAAGAATTCTGTACTTACGCCCAATATTGATCAGGAGCAGTATATAAAAAATTGTCGCATTTTGTTTTTTTCCTCTTGACACAGCAGACGTTTGAAGCTGCATTATGAAAGGATTTGTCTACATTTAACCGTATCAAATGGGAGGGGACAACTTTTAGAGCAATCTTATTGGCTTCTCACTCTGGTGCTGTTTCACTGCACTACCACAATGGAAATATGCCATACCCAAAGTTTAAACACATGAAACAACACCAGCAACACATTTATGTTAATTTATGTTTGACTCTCATTTTGGTTTTCTTACAGTGGGCTGTTTACAGTAGACACATACTATGTTTACAACAGTTTCCTCAGGAAATCAAAACAGGAAAGTGTATTATGGCCTTGGTGAGACTGTGTATGATGTTAGTTAATGTTTCACATTCAGTGTTACGGTGATTTATTTTTATTCATTAGCATATTAGTTTTCATGTAGCTGACACTTAGGTGATGTGTATCAGCTTTAGTCAGGAGTTAGAGAATCAAGTCATGCTCAGTTTCAAAGTGCACCTGGATTAAAGGAAGAAGTTAAGGTATTTTGTGCTCTGCTTTCACACAGGTGAATTCGGCTAAATAACGAAAGAACAGGGCGTGGTCTGCTTATCTGCACAGTAAAAACTCAGATCACTTCGGGGTACGGAGGTGATCAGGTTCAGGGCTGGCTTGCTATCTCTTTTGCTCAGAAGAATCCCAAAGCAAATGGCATTTTCATGGTTCTTAATTTTATATAAAACAGAGATGTTACTGCATCAAATAAATAAATTCAATAGCCACTACTAAATATAACATATGTGTGGATTTCGTGCTCCGATTTTATGATAAAAGTTGCGTTTATATTCATAATGGCCACTGAATCTTGGCATTTCTTGATTTAATGCAGTAACATCTCTGCTTTATACAGCCTGTGGTTTTCATTTTTGCTTTGGTTCTCCATTATGAAGGAGATAGGAACAACATGGTCACGAACCTGATCACCTCCGTACTCTGAGGAGCTGCACACAGTTTGCATTGTGCTGGTGAAGGAGACCATCCATGACTTTGTTCATTTCATCTGAGTTACTTGTACGAAAGAAATTCAAATGCTCAAATATTGCATTCAAGACATTTTGCTTTACAGTTTAATATGATGGATACTATGTAGTGTTTACACTCTATCGCTTTATGCTTTGGCTAGCCAATCATTTTACGTTTCCGAGGATAGTAGGCGGGGCCAGGTACGTACGTTCTTTTAGAGCAGAGCTACAGATTAAAAATGCCCAAGGCGAAGCGGTCAAAAGTCTGGCTGTACTTCACAGCAAAATATGCAAACTCAGCAGCCTGCAACAAGTGCTTTAAGCTGATACTGTGATACTGTCAAAGGAGGTAACACCTCAATCTGATGAAACACCTGGCGACGCATAGCGTTTTTTTTAAAAGCCGAAAATGCCCGTATTTGATAGCTTGCTGCGAGACCTCACACCGAGCACATCTACTGCGGTGTGGTGCCTGTTATCGGACCCGGAGTTAGCAACTATGATAAATCAAAGGAATTTATATTTAAACAGGTGTAATTTGATACCATATGGTCTTGATACAATGATACCCAAACGCTGCAATGACAGTCTTACCGCTTTTGCATTTCATTAAATACTTATTAATGAAATTTGAACTCCTGTTATGGAGGTTAGACATGCTTCGTACCCGTCTATAACCACTGTTCTTACACTATACCTGGCTAAAGTAAAGTAACTACACACTTCAGGTCTGAACTTTGACACCAGGGCACCTGCTCCCCCTCACTATTCAGCCCTTCACCTCTTCTGTTCAGGCTTGAAAAATGTTTGATTCGGTTGTTCTGCTCTGGATTTCATTCTTTAATTGCTTTGATTAGTTTTCCACACTTGGGACTCTCTGTGCAGTTCAGCTAGTTTTCTCGCTGCAGAACAAGCAACCTAACCAGTGTGCCATGCACCACAAATGTCAAATTAATAATAACTAATCATTAAATTCAAAGTAGTCTATAAACACATAGTAAGTGAAAAAGATGAAAGTGAAAAAACACTAAGTGGATCATGGTAAGCGTCTAGCAGCCTAAGAAATAACAGCCTAACTAAGGAAGGATTCAGGGTCACCTGATCCAGTCCTGACTATGAGCTTTATCAAAAAAGAAATTTAAAGCCTAATCTTGAAAGTAGAGTGGATGTGTGACAGGTTACACAGCAGAGGGGCCTGAAAGCTGAAGGCTCTGCCTCCCATTCTACTTTTAATTGTCAAGGTCTGACTGTGTGGCAGGCAGGATGAGGACCAAAGTGCAGGACTCTGGAGAGATAACGTGAACTTAAGCAGCTGTATTGCTGAGAACTACAAACTAAAATACAAAACACTGAAGTCTTGGCATGGCAAGGCATGAATCGGGTACTAGATACTAGACACAGGATAAGATGGTAACTGACTATTCAAGAACTTGTATGTGAATAGAAGTATTTTAAATGTGAGTCTAGATTTAACAGGGAGCCTATGAAGAGAAATATGCCAGTACTCTTGCTGTAGCACTTTTGATCAACTGAAGGCTCTTCAGGGAGTTTTTAGGGCCAGTCGCTTCAGCCTGATGATAATACATTACAACAGTCCAGGTTAAAAGTAAATAAATACAGGAACTAGTTTTTCAGCATCACTCTGGGAAAAGATGTTTCTAATTTTGAAGCTATTGCAAAAATGCAGGAAAGCAGTCCTCTATATTTGTTTAATATGCACATATCTTGGACATATCCTTGTCAAAAAGAACTTCAGGATTCCTCACAGTATCACTAGAGGTAAAGGTAATGCCATCCTGATTAAGTATCTGGTTAGACAAGATTTTTAGGGATGAGTACAATAACCTCAGTTTAATTCGAAATTAGAAGCAGAAAATTAGAGGTCACCTGTTCTTTATGTCTTTCAATTCAAGTCAATTCAATTGGAATCCCATCCAAATATAATTTACCACAATAGTATCAGAAGGCAACAGAAACAGAGATGTGTCTACAGTCTGTCCAAAACTATAACAAACGTATCTGAGTTGGGATGTACAATGTGCTGTTTGTCACAGCAGCTGTTTGTTGTACAACTGGCCCCACAAGGAAAAAACAGTTTCTGACCAACCAAAGCCAACTAAAGAGACAATGAAAGTGGACAGTATATCCTTGATTAAAAAAAACCCTCACAGTTAAAGCCAAGTGTAGCACAAAAGTGACCCCCTTAGTCTGATTTTTAGTTTTAGTCTTCTGTCTGATTCTATAACTAGTTAGCTAACATAAACTGATGTAAGTCTATGGACCGCAACCAACCAACCTGATGATGTCACATTCTGTACTGGCACAAGCTGGCCCTAAATACGTTTTAAAAACTTTAACTCTAAGCACTAATTTCTTAACTCCAGCTACACTGAGTATCTATGTCAGTTTATGAGAGAAGGGCTCATGTTGTAAATTAGCCTTTATAAATGAAGTGTTTCATGTCCACTTTAAGTTAAATCTCTTCAGTAACTCCATGTTTATATTGGCTTTGTACTGGTTAGGGATTTCCTATTCCACCTGCAAAACCCCTAATCCATGGATCAACAGTTCCAAATGCAGATAAACACATCAATTAGTGAGGTTTAATCAGGATAAGATTACCTAATACTTTGCAGAAAAGTATGGCTATCAGCTGCAGTGTATGCACTTGACATTCGTCTCTTAGATGCACAGGACATTTTCCGTGTTTTAGCCAATCACTGTGAATTTTACTTTCTATATATTGTATCAAAGAGGCCTGAAATGGACAAATTCATATAATTACCAGATGGTGTACATTAATCTAAAACATACATAAAAAGTAATAAAGACAAGTGAGACAATCATGTATAAACTAAAACTACATGGGCTCTGGGACTCATCTTTTTAAAGCATTTTATTGGCTATTTTAAAGTGTTACAGATTACAGTTGTTGCTTTAACACTGTTAAAACTGTAACAGGGCTTAATGAAAGCAGTGTTAGCTGCTGTCAGCTTTATTTAGCTTACTAAAGACAGTAACTAATGCAAATAGATGTAAGTGTTGTGTGTTGCTCCTAAAAATGATGAGCTATATGATGTGATACAAGTATTAGTAATGGAAGTGTGTTACTTTCAAATGATTGTTGACCTCAGAGTTAGAATTAAATACTAAGTTTAAGTCTAAGATCATTAGGCAGGACACATAGTAAGAACAAATAATAATTAAACATTTTATTACCTGTTATTGCGCTTCATTAATTATTATTACAATTAATATGACTGAACACCAGTAACAGTTTCTTATTTTAAATTTTTAAAAAAATTGCATTTTGAAACATCAACCAGTCAAACAACAGTAAAATTACAAAAAAAAAGAAAAAACACTTTCGAGGAAGTGTATTACCAGCATTTCAGCCAATCAGGATGATTTCTACTTGAAACACTTTGATGATCTTGTGACTAAACTTTCATTTAAGTAGGAAGGCATCTGTCATGCAAGACAAAGGTGTTTCACCACAATGATTGGAGTACAGACTGCTTTGATTCTTTTTACTACAATAGGTAAGTACAAGATGATCTAGTGTTGTTTACACCGATTTTAACAGGTGCAGTATAATGTGAAGACAATACTATTTAAGAGGGAAGATTTGTAATGTTTACTGGTTTTGTCTCTTTTTGTCTTGTGTCTTCAGCTCTGATTCAAAGCGCAGAGGCTGCCCACCAGATCCCTTTGATTGAAGTTGAAGTTGGTAAA